TTTTTTTTTTTTTTTTTTTTTTTTGGTAAATAATCCTTTATTCCCCTTTTTGTGTGTACCTGCAGTTGAGTCTCAGTATAAGTCCCTTTTAAGCATGCAGGTGAGGACCCACAATCAGGCCACCATATCACATTGGGATTGCCCTGTAACAACCTTGGGGCAATCACTTCCCCTTCTGAGCCTTAGTTCACTTGACTGTATCAAACATATCTGAGAATCTATGATCTTAAAAGTTTTTCAATGAACTGGACACACCTATTCCTGAAGAAACAGATCAACACACACAAAACTATAGACAACCTCCCACACCTGAACATATGCATCCCAGTCCCTTCCACACTTGTCAACACCTGGCCATGTATATGACAACTAAGAATCCCCAGGACCTCTTGTCACCATCCCTAAAGAGGAACAAGATTGAGTGGTGAAGAGAAGTCTGTGCTGGCTGAGATGAGGGCAGGGCTGACATCACTGTGTGAGACAGACAGACAGAAGGGGCCTGAACCAGGCTTCTGCCTTCTTATTTCTCAGAAAGCCTGTTCTGGGCATCTCTAGCTGTGCGGGTAGACTCATTACTCGTGGGTGAGGGAAAAGGTAGTCCTTCCCCTCACCCAGTTTCCAGTCTGTTTTTTTAAGAGTTACAGCTATAAAATTATATTTTAAGAAGTTAACCTTTTTAGCAAAAAGTAACCTAGAAATGCAACATCTTACAGATTTGCCACCTCTCCCCCTGTAAATCTGCACTATAATTTCTTGGGTGCTCTCCCAAATTCAGATGTTTCTCCAATTTCCATTCTAATTAAGGAAATTGCATTGGCATCTACACCATTGCAGGTCGTGTGCTGTGGTGGAAAGAGCTTTTGACCTTGGACAAAGATCAAGGTTCCAGTCATGCTGTTCCACCTAAAAGGTGTGTGACAAGTCTCTGAAACTGTGGTTTTCAGTTTCCACATTTTACATCTATAAAATGAAAATGATGCTCACAAGCCTGTGCCATTAAACAAGGGGAAGTACTTGGGGACCCCAGTCCAGAGCCCAGGGGAACAGGAGATTTTTTAACGGCACTTTGTAAATTGCAAAAGGCCATCATACAAATGCTAATCACTGTTCTTAGCATGCAGTCCCCTCTATCTCTGAGGCCCTAGATTCTATGATTCTAACACTGGGTAGGGGAAGGCAAGCCCGGGCTCTCAGCCCAACGGCTTGCAATGGCCCTATCCCAGCCGCTGAGCAGTCGGTTTGAATTTCAGGGGAGAAAAGCACACATGACACGAATCCTTGAGCCCTCCGGCAGCCTCCCTGCCCCCCAAAGCATGTCCTAGGCTTGGAAAATCCCCTGCCGCGCTGAACAAACAATGTGAACAGTTGGGGCTGAGCAGCTGCTGGGTATGTCAGCAGCCTGGGCTCTGGCGGGCAGGACTGTGGCCAGAGGCGCAGGGCGACTGGCTGGGGAACCCAGAGGAGGCTCCAATTCCTTCCTGAATATTCATGGCTCAGCAGATGTCTGGCTTTGCCACCTCTAAGGAGCCCAGCACCCAGCAAGGCAGAATAGGGAAAATCAACAGGGATGTAGATTGTGGAGAGAACTAGGATGCCCCTCAGAGAAAAACATGGCTCTCCCAGGCTGGCTTGGGAGAGGTGCCTCATTCGTTAGATGGGGAAACTGAGGCCCTCTGGGCCTCATCTCTCTGAGAGACAGTCTGGGGAAACTATCCTTCTGGGGATACACCCTAGTTGCTCCTGAATAAGAAAGTACTTTGTGCATCAGTGTCCAATCCAACTTCTGTGCCCAGGACATGCACATTTAGGGGTTCAGAACAGGTACCAGTCCCCCACCCCTGTTTTCCCTGCCTCCCCAAGAGAAGCTTTTCTTAAGTCTCACATCACATAGCCTTTTGTAGGCTCCTACCCACCCGCCCTCTTGGCTAGATGAAATGATGTGGTGGGGGTCCTCTACTTTCCTCCCTTCAACCACAGTTTCTCTAATCTTAAGATGAAGAGTCTCCATGTTGCTCAAACATTCTTCCCAAGATTCTCCCTTCAGCAGAGAAGTGCATACTCAGGAGGCTCACTGACTGCTCAAAATGTTTTTATTTTTCAACCTCTGGCACAAGCTGCATTCTGCTCCATTACATAGCAATGTTTGCTTTAATAGAAATGTGGTTTCTGCACCACAAAATCTTTTCCTAAAAGTGATGCTCTGTGGAGTGAGCCTGGTTTGTCCATTCCTGCCACCCCCAATCTCACTGCCCTGCCTGCCTCCACGGGCTCTGACTGTCAGGACTGGCGGGGTCACGTCACAGGTGTTCAGTGGACACTGCTGCCCACCAGCCTTGCCTCGAGGGGGCTTCCTCCCCCCATGATCTCCTTTCCTCCAGCTTCTGAGTGAGACCTTACTGGAGACAGTTCTATCTAGGCTTGGGAACCCCAGGGGCCATCTCTCAATCTCTATTTTCTGACAGATTATTTTACCCACTTATAGGATAAATTAGATTTTATGAGGCCAATTAGAAGCCAGACAGAAAGGAGATTCGCTGCTGAGCCCTAGGGCCTGGGTACCATCTTTCCATGAACTCTCAGGAAAGGGGTGGGTGAATGGGGGAGGGGAAGGAAGTTGAAATGACTCACTCATGAGCCAGAAAGTCATCACAAACTCTTGCCACTTCTGAATTTCGGACTTACAACTTGTCTGGGGATAATTCTCCATGACACCATTATCAATGTCCTTTCCCAGAGGGTGTAAGTTAGTTTCTTCCAGAAACCTCCTCCCCACCCCCAAGGCCACCACCCTTAGCACACACTAAGTCCCTCCCACCAACAGCTGGAGTTAGAGCTTGGGTCAGTTGCCTGGGACACAGAGAAGGCCCAGAGCTCCCTTCCTCCGCCCTCCTGAGGAGTGAGGTTCAGCCTCAGCCAACCTGACAGCAAAGCCACAAGCAACTGCCTGCCTACCTTCTGTTCCACGACTTTTCTGTCTCCACCAGACCATACCACCTCCAATTCTCTGAGAGCGCAATGCTTCCATGCATTATTCCATTTGCTCCTGCTCTCTGTTTCTGTCCTCATGTGACCCTGAAACTTCAGTCACTCAAATTGTCACTCTCAATTTTTGACCTACCTTTCTCCCCACCCAGGGGAGAAAACTTGAGGTTATGTCCTAGTCAGTTTTCTAAATCCCTAGTACTTCAACAGTCCCTGGCACACAGTAGGTGCTCAATAAATACTCCATGAATGGCTGTAGAACATGTGGAAACACCTTCAAAAAGATGACACTGAGCTCCCCTCATGCTTTTTCAAGCCTCAGTTTTCTTATCTGTAAAAGTTGTAGTAACTTCCTTCAGGGTCAGGGATGCAGAATAATATGTTTACACCTAGGAGATGTCTCATAAAAGGCACAGACAGAACAGCAAACTACATGAAAGGAGCACTATATTTAAACAGCCCTGCATGGGCGGGCACTGCCTCGCCTGTTCTCCTGTTCTATGGTTCATACAGTGAAAACAGTCTTTCTCCTGTGTCTACCTACATCTCCCTGTGCACGTGCTCTGCTCACTTGCTGGAGCACCATTCTCCAAACTACGTGACAAGGTAACAAGGCCTTTATCAGGCCCTCCAGAAGCCTTAGATCTGTACCAGCTTGCATGCTAAGGTCCGCACCCCAGTGAGTTTATGGAGCTTCTGCTTCCCTGACTCCAATGACCCCATACCCCCCCAAATCCAGATGATGCCTCAGTCTCAGCAGCAGCTTGGCAGTAGTAGCTGGTAATCCAACCTGCTCAGAAGAAAAGGACTCCACTTCTTTGCATGTCAGTCCCAGAAAAGCATTTCTCTGGTTTTCCTCCCTGCTGCCCCCACTCCCAGCTCCCATCATCCTCCTCTGACCAGGCTGGGGCTGGGGTCCTCCCACATCAGAACTGTTCTTACTCCTCCCCCACCCCCCCACCCTGGGAAGCTGGGAGCCCCCAGGCCTGCTTGGCAATGACATCTGTTCTGCATCTGGAATTCTGCGTCAAGTCTGGTTGCTGTACCTCTGAAACCGTGGAGGCCAAACAGGAGAGGGAGGGTGGGGCTGGATAGAGGAGGGTAGATTCCAGAATTCAGACAGACCACTAAGGGGCCAAGCCCAAAGTTGATCATTTCTTTTGTGAGGGAGATGGATTCACAGAGGCTAAACTTGGGTAAACTTGGGTAGGTGTGTATGTACCAAATCCTGAGAAACTATGACTGTGTCAAGAGCCAGCAGACTGCTCCAACCCCAGGTCACTCCCTATGCATGTAACCTGAGGAAGTTACAGTTTTCTTCTCTGTCAAATGGGCTCATGCTAAAATTAGTTTCCTTCAGTGCTGACATTCCATGATATGCTAATTGTAAGGCTGTTTAACTTGAAAGAGTTACCTTTAAGAGAAAGGAAAGGTAATATTAAGTTACACAAATGTGTGAATAGGGCCATTAATAGGGCCCTGAAAGCACAAACAGAATCAATGAAGATTAGGTAACCTCTGAGTAAGATGCATTCTTAAAAGAGACTCTGTTAAACCTGGCTCCTAACTCTTCCTTCGATAGGGCCTTCCCAACACCCCAACTGAGTAAGGTGGGAAAGTGATGGGGACAAGAACTCCCAGATGAAAAGAAAGCAAGCACCATGTTCTGAGGGCCCTCTTACTACTGACCTTTGGGTTTACCACCCCCTCCCCAAATTCTAACTTATTGGAAGGAAGAGCCCCATTCTTACATATGGTAAGAAGAACACTCAGCATTTCACCACCATCACCTAAGACAAGTCTAGAAAAGGTTTACCCAGTCACTATTCTGACCCCAACACCAGTCCTTCATTCTGCCACACTGAGGTTGCTGAGATTTCTATTATGTTTGACTTCCCTCAGCTCCTGCAAACTCAATCCACCCTCATGTACTGAGTCCAATTCCTAAATATCTCTGAATCTGGCTACTCTAGCCATCCCAGCTGCCACTACACTAGACACCATCTTTTCTGGATTACTCCAACTGCCTCCTAAGAAGCTGGAACTTCCTGCTTCCAGTCTCACCAATCGATTCTCCACACTGGCTGGAGCAGGCTGAAGCAAAGCTGATCTTAAAACCCGCCAAAGGCTCATAAGGTTTCTCAGGCCAGAAACCGTGGTAGAGTTTATAAGGTTCTTCAGAAGCTGGATCCAGCCCCCCTCTTCAACCTTTTCTCTTGATACTTGTCCACACTTCCCTAACCTGCTCCATTCTCAGCCCTTATGCTGCAAACTCCAGCCAGATTTACCTCCATGCAGTGTTCTAAACTAAGTCACCTCTGAGAGTTTGCACATGCTGTTCTTTCTAGGAAAACTCCCCCATCTCCACTCTCCTTCAAACTCAACCTCAGCATTGAGTTCCAATTCTTTCCTGACCTTCCCAGACCTGCTGAGAAAACCCTCCTTCCATTTCCCAGCAGATAATAGCATACCTGAAGTTCTCACTCCAACTCCTACACCACCCTGACACTGGAAGCTTCCCACCAGATAACAGGTCTGCCTCCTTATTTACTATATACCAGGTGCCTGGAGTATCAAAGGTGCTATAAAAGGTGCTCAGTAAATATTTGGTGGGTGAATGAATGACCTAGGTGTTGGCCTGTTGAGCTTTGCACACTCAAAAGCCTTGGGAGGGAGTGCGTGGGGGTGGGGTGGGGAGGGCCAGTGCTTCAGCCATGCACACGGTTGCCAAAGGAACCCCAATTCGGACCCTGCCTTATGCACTCCAGAGTAGAGGGACTCGGGGTTTCTGAGGCAAACTGAGTCTTTTCCTGATGGGGCCCACCTGAGTACGATAAAGCCCTAGTGACATTCCTAACAGTGAACCCTGCCAGGTGACCTAGAAGAGCAGAAGAGGGTGGCCCAACTCCAGGGCAGAGGCTTCAAGGCATGTCCACGCCCTTTTCACCTGACAAGGGGGTGGGAACGCACACCCTAGCCCACCTACAGGACCCAGGCTCCAGGCAGACCCAGCCAGCCCATTCAGAACTGGAAAGGGGTGTGTCTCCGTAGGGGAAGAAGGGGTCCGAGCTGTTCTCAGTTCTCCGCACTTTCCCACCGCCGTTTGGGTTTCCTGGAGATGGGCCTGGGGCCGGCCAAGCAGAGGCTCCTTCCCCCTTCTTACATCCCAGCCTCCCTCCCACGTGGCCTGGCTGAGTCTCTCTGGAAAGCCGCAGCAGCTGGAGAGAAATCCCCCTCCCCACCCCCACTTTCAAGTCCCTCCCCGATTCGCCCCGGACACATCCTCAGCTCCCCCCTCGGCAGGGAAGGCTAGAACTAGGCGAACAAAGCGGGCAGCCCATCCCCCTCCCAGCCCTACAACTTACCTTCCCCAAGGGCTGCCCCCCAACACACACCACCCGACAGAAAGCGAGAGGGTCAGGGGGTAGAAGAAGCCCTAAGTTTACAGACTTGGGACTGCTAATCCTCATCCCCAACCTTTTCTCCAGCGTGGACAACTTTGACTCTTACGGCCCCTCCACCCCGCACAGAAGTGGGGGTCTGGAAGAGGCCTGAAGGCCTTGTCCATGAGCCCCTGATCTCCTAGGGGCTGGGGCAGGAGTGACACCCGTCCCATCCCAAGAGCAAGTGTTGGACACGTCTACGAAAGCAACTGGTTTCCCTCCCTGTCCTCCAGTGCACTACGGGCCTTCGGTTTGGGGGAGCAACACTCCCCCCCCAAAGCCCCAACCAGTCCCACGGACCACACCCACTAAGCAAAGTTGAGTGTTTTACCACCACCCCCAGTCAATCTGGAATCTCCTGCTCTGTGCCCCCACCAGGAGCAAGGGACACTCCCCAAAAGCCAAGGCCAAATATTAACTCAGACCAGTAAACACAATTACACGGGCTCTTGACACAAATGGAGGGCAGACACACACCCTCACACCCCTCCTCTTTCACATACATTCTCCACCCGAAGACACGCGCGGGCAGGGCAGAACCCGCCCCACGCAGACCGCCAACACCGCAGCCACGGCCCGCGATGCCAGGCACGACCGTGGCACGCACTGCGGACACGTATGCCCGCAAAAACCCTCCTCCTACCCTCCGCGCGCGCACACACACACACACTCACTCACTCACTCACTCCAGACTCCGCACACCAAGGACACACACCCCCTGCGGACAAGTACTCGCCGCAAATGCCCCCCC